TTTTAATTTCAGATTTGTTTACTTATCTATTTCACATTTTGTAAACCTTTCACGAATTTCTGACTAACGAACTCAACGATTTCAAGGTGAGGAATGGCAACAATGTGCGGAAAAAAAATATTTTTATCTCCAGCACGCGAGACTGTCTATCGGAAATTCTAATCATAGGCTATTTTTAAATATTTTGTGGTATTGCTGTTGAATTGAATTTGATGTGGTTGATGCGCGAAGAATATGATATTTAATAAATAAAGATAGCACACAAAACGTTAAATAAAAAGTCCCTTTTTGAGTAATATAAAATCTGAAAGCTTTCAGTTTTCTTTTTTAGTTATTTTAATGTTTTGAAATTTTTGATAACAATTTCTTTTTGAGAAGATTGCAAGCAGAAGTTTTAAATTTCATTTCTTAGTATATTCGTTCTTTTTCTTTTCAGCCCCCCCCCTTTTTTTTGTCCACTTGAAAAACTAATATATCATGTATCCGAAAAAGCATTTGAATCCTAGTTTATGTACACTGCTCAAAAAAAAAAAAAAAAAAAAAAAAAATGGGACAGTGCTATATCTCTCGTTCTACTGGGCCGATTGACAAAATTCAACTTGCGTTTTTCATGTCTCGAAAGCGCGACTTAGAATATATATTAGATTTATATATAGCACTATTCTAACATAGGTATTTTGACACAAAATTGGACTTTTTCTGAAATAACATACCAATTTTTTTCCATATTTCGATTCTACGATTCACATTATGCCAGAATACCAAGTTTTGTAAAAATCGTACGAGTAGTTTTTTAAAATATTAGCTCTCAAAAAATTTCAGCTCCTCAATGTTAATTGAATTTGGCAAATATTTATTAATATCTCTTTTTTTTTATTAAACTTTTTTGATTTTTTTCTCTTACATTTCGAAATTTAGGTTCATTCCAAATAAAATTTACCCATTTTTTGTGTTTTATTTTTAAAATTTCTATTTTAAAATATAAAATTTTTACCATCATCTTAAGTAGGTGTATTTTTAAACATATCTGCAAAAAATTAGGCTTTTTTATTCAAAATTTTCTAAGATATACACGAATTTACATATTTTCGCGTTTTGAAATTTGGCATCTTTTTTTGAGCGATAATAACGCCAAATGTGTCTATGGATTTTTGTTACACTGAACTGCCATAGCTATTTGGCCCACCAGCGGCTGAGCGGTAAAGTCGCTGAACACTGGTAGTTCGGTCCGTGGTTCGAATCCCGCGAACGGGCTGGCTGCATGGGCGTTTTCGTGGTTTTCCCCATGTGTAACGTGTATACGAGCCACTTTCCCTTAGAAAGTCCTCCACGAAAGGCATCCCTCCCCTTAGGCAGATAGCCCTCGAGGCTTTGCCATTATCTCACACACACACACACGCCATAGCTATTTTTTAACATTAAATTTCAAGTAAAATTTTACGGAGAATTAATTATGTGACATTTTTTCCCTCAATGATGCGTAATAAATATTTATTAATACTATATTTAAAGCTATTTTTTTAAATTATAGATGATATTATTCAAATTTTTAACTATTTTTTTTTTTTTTAATTTCTCTATATCTTAAAAAAAAAATAAGAGTAAATTTTTGTATGAGTAAATTTTACCTTCGGCGTTTTATCGTCTGCTGCTTTACTTCGTTTAAATCGAATTGTCTAAAACTGAGAATTTTTGTTTGATGTTTATTTGAATTTTATGACAGTAACTGCATAATTTATTTCTAAAAAAAACAAACTGTTGCTTTTGAAGTCGGTGAAAGAGCGGCTGATACATATTTTTAAAGCACAGTATATTTTTATAGAAACATAACATTTAGAATAATAATTTTTATAAAAGTCAAATTATGATATAAACATACAACCCTCTAGAGACTGAATTAATGGAAGTTCGGTGGTTGTGTAGAAATGATCTGCAGCTACTTAATGGCTGGATAAGTCAGCAGATTCTGTGGACAAGTAAGAATAATTATATAAACGACATCCAACATTCCTGATTCAATTAACAACGAGGATACGATGTTTATTAAATGAATTCAAGAAGTTTTAAAACATAAAAAATCAACTCATTTTTTAATCTTAAAATGTATTTTTGTGCGTAGCGTATTTTCATTATATTCTTAAAATTCTAATTTAGAATGTAATTGTCAAGAACTGAATCCTAATCATTAGTAATATAATAAGTAATTATTACGGTTATTAATAAATCCTTCTTATAAGTTGCAAATATTGCACACGATATTATTTATATAGGACTTTCTAAGGGAAACTTTCTTTTTAAGGGAAACTGGCTCGTATACATACATTAATAATATCATCTATAATTTAAAAAAAATAGCTTTAAATATAGTATTAATAAATATTTATTACGCATCATTGAGGGAAAAAATGTCACATAATTAATTCTCCGTAAAATTTTACTTGAAATTTAATGTTAAAAATAGCTATGGCGTGTGTGTGTGTGAGATAATGGCAAAGCCTCGAGGGCTATCTGCCTAAGGGGAGGGATGCCTTTCGTGGAGGACTTTCTAAGGGAAACTGGCTCGTATACACGTTACACATGGGGAAAACCACGAAAACGCCCATGCAGCCAGCCCGTTCGCGGGATTCGAACCTCGGACCGAACTACCAGTGTTCAGCGTCTTTACCGCTCGGCCGCTGGTGGGCTATTTAATTAAGGAACGACCATCTAAGTTTAAAAACAGCGTACCTTAGCAGCAATTCAATTATTGGCGCCGCATCTTTCATGTTACTCCCGATTGGCAAGCTACATGATTTTTAATGAGTATTCGGGTTTTGCTAGTAACTTCACTTAGAAATCGCGCTTAAACTAGGTTAGCTGGTTATTTAAACATAGAAAGAACATGGGAGCTATTTGATTAAGATGCTTTCATAGAGAACCTTTGTAAAGAGAACCTAGAAAACTACGAAAACCAACTATGTAAGCCTGGGGTAGACTTCGCAACAAACAATTAGTATTTAACAATCTTCAAATGCTAGGCAACTGGTGAGGCTCCACTTAAATCTCCAATTTAATATTTTATTTCTAAATATTTAAAATATTGTTGTATTGTTAGACACAAAAAGCAGAATTTAAGTTTTGTTAACTCGCTAGTAAACTACCAAGTCGTAGTGCAAATGAATATTCAATTGCTTTTGCAATAATTGTATTCACTTAATATTCTTGGAATATGAGCTAAAGAAGGAACGTTCTCGGAAGATTAAAGAAGTGTTTAAATCCAGCGATATTAGGTTTGTCTTACAAGCTCAGGATCAAAACGATTTTGCAATTGCCCGAGTAGTTGACTTGTAAATGACTGTGAATTAAGCAGATGACTTTTAATCTTACGTTTTCAGTCAGAAAACCTATTCCGAATGTTTTGTATTGCATGACAATGCATCTTTTCATTATTCAATAACCAGTCGGAGAACCGCTTGTGTTCCGAAAATAAGTATGTGTACTCAATCGTCCTGCATGTTCTTCAAATTTGTCTTCTTGTGATTTTTTTTCTTTCCCAAAAACTAAAGTTGCCTCTCTAAAGAAAGTTTTTTGACATTGAAGAGACAAAAGGAGTATGACATCTACTTTTAGAGGCATGTCAAAAACAGATCTCCACAAGCCTTCTCTTCCATTACATGTTGTGCAATCAGACAAAAAGTTGCATCAGCGTAAATTTTATAATCTATTTTTATTCCACTCTGATTACTTTATTAACATACAGTGAATATATACTAAATCTTGTACTTTAGCTTAAATAATTCGGAAGTTTTGACGGAATTGTTGTCGGAACTAGGACTTAGAAGATAAGTCAAATTAAATATTTCGATAATCCAATAAATTCAAGGTCGAAGTTTCAATATTTTATTTTCGGAGGGAGGGGAAATTTTTTCAATTTTGGTCCATTATCCTAAGTATATCTGCTTCGATTCTTTGTTTTTCCATAAAAGCGAAAAATTTACGCTTGGTATATAATGCATAGCTTCAAATTAAAATTTAATAATATACAGAGTGGTTATAATTAAAGTTCCACACTGAAACGGTCATAAAAGGAAAACTACTGGATCAAATGTTATCAAACTTGGTAATCGTGTAAAGGAGATCATGGGAATTTATTTTCCGCAAAAAAAAAAAATGAAAATTGGACACCTCACCACCAGGGGGAAAATAGCGCTGTATGCAATATTCTTAAACGAAATATGGGTCGGAATTTAACTTAAGCTTTTGTTACACGGGTTAAACATGTTGCATACCCTTAAGAAACTTTGAAGTAGGCAAATTACCATTTAAAAGCGTTGAATTCGATAAAAGTCGAGTGCGCCATCCGTGTAAGTGAGAAATTCGTCCTTGAAAACCACGAATTAGCGATTAGAAAATGTGAGATCGCAAATCACTCGCACAAGTGCGTACAATCTGGAAATCGTTTTCTTACAGATCGCTAATTTGTAATTTTTGAAGCTTGAATTTGGCACTAAAACATGAAGATACTGATTCAAAACGCTTTTAATCGATTTGGGCCAAAGAAATCCCTCATGTTATCTACCTAGTTCCATTGCATTCTCCTACTGCATTCGATTGCATAGCAGTCATTCCACACCGTTTAGTATAGAATGACAGCTAGTTTCATAACTGAACCATTTTTCTCTGAAGAGCAGGCGACAGCTGGACCACTGTGATTGCAGCTCACTTAGAGTCAATGTTAAAATGTTTCGTGATACATGAACTGCATGGAACTGCAGTAACATGGCATTTTTTAGATACTACGATTTTTATGCAGGGCTGGGCCCCACCTCACGTGTGTCGCACAGTTACTTAGGAAACATTTCACGAATGAACGTCTTATAGGCCGACAATTCCCCTCTTCCCACCAGACCTCAATCTCTGTGACTTTTGGCTATGGGATTATCTCAAAAGCACTGTTTATGATGATATTATAAACAATTTGCAGCAGTGTGGCATATGCAGCAGCAGTGTGGGCATTTCCTATGCAGGGCCGTAAAATTAGACATCTGTCAGCAATCCAGAGACCCTTTGCTCTAAACATAACTCGTGTTTATCGCACAACAGCCTCTAATGCAATCAATGTTTTAGCGGAATTATTACCCCTCCACTTACGAGTTGAAGAAGAGGCTGTCAGGCAACTCATCAAACAGTTACGGCGTCCAGCTTACTTCTCTGATGAATATTTCCTTCCAGAAGAATATGAAATCCCGGCTCCTGATTTTCGTACCCATCCATCATTTAAAGGCATTGGTGTTCGCATCCAAGTTCAGCCAACTGCTACAGCTCTGCCTTCTCAAATAGAAATTTATACAGACGGCTCGAAAATCAACGAAAACACAGGCAGTGCTTTTGCTGTTTTGCGGGATCATATAGTTACACATCATTGGAAAGGTCAACTGCGCTCTCAAAATTCAGTCTTCCAAGGTGAAGCGATTGCTATTGCACAAGCCTTACGCTACTTAATCTTTTACGGTATTAAAAAAGCAGTTATAAAAACAGACAGTCTATCGTCGTTGCGTGCTTTAGGTAATCCTGACCATCCATCTACCATCATCCAAACCATTCAGCAGGACCTAAGAGAGCATTTCCCCCCCATCAGCTTAAACTTGAGTGGATCAAAGCTCATGCTGGGCATTACGGAAACGAAACTGCAGACAGTCTAGCCAAAGAGGTAGCTTCAGGCAATGCAGATACTCAAGTCAATATCCCATGGCTTATTTCTTATCTAAAGAAATGCCTGAGATTGAAGGCCATTGGACGATGGCAAGAGGAATGGGGACGAGGGCTCAACCGGTCGACGAACGCAGTATCACATAGCGTATGTGGACACTGACCGTATCATTTCCAACCCTCAGCTCGTTCGATTTATCACTGGCCATGGTCCATTTCCGCAATATTTTGCAAAACGCGGGCTCAGCCATACTGAGTTCTGCTGCTGCGGAGATATTGGATCCCCAGAGCATTACCTGACCACTTGTCCATTGACATCTGATCTTCATATTCAACTGCCAAGTACCAACAGGCAGGCCTTCTGCAAATTTATCATAAAGCAGAGATATCTGATTACAAAGGTTGTCAATTTAATGGACAAACTGTCTGCGCTGGGCATGGACTTATGTCAGACAGCGTAAATTCTCCTGCTGCCATAAACGTATGCTCCGTATGGATTATATGCAAATTTGTACCAACAATATAATAGTCTTACACCAGCAAAGTATAGTACCGGTACTAATCAGTATTGTGTCAGTATTAATACCAGTAAAGTATTGTATCAGTATTGTAACATTTAAATATTATATATCCACATTTGTATCAGTAATGTAACAGTCGTAATTGAGTAAAGTATTGTATCAGTATCAGTATTTCCCATTTACAATTAATCACTATTAGTCAGTATTGAATGAGTATTAATACCAATAAAAGTGTTGTATGAGTATCAATATCAGTAACGTATTGTATGAGTATTAATATCAGTTAAGTATTGTGTGAATATTAATACTAGTAAAGCATACTTGCTCGTGCATATATCGCATGAGCAATAAAAACAGTCTTACAATCAGTAAAGTATTGTATCACTAATATATCAGCCTTGTATCAGTAGTGTATCAGTTATATTTCATCAGTAATGTACAAGTAATGTAACAGTAGAACAGATTTATTTACCGACTTGTGCAAAATCATTCCCATTTCATCAGTATTGATATTCAGTTTTATATCAATGTATCAGTAATGTAGCAGTATTAATCAGTGTTAATATCAGTACCAGTATTATATCAGCCTTTAATCAGTTCTGCATCTGTCATATTTGCATCAGTAATATACCAGTAATGTATCTTGAATATTAATCTGTAACTCTGTAACATGTTATATTGTATGTCTTGTCGTGCACGTTGATTACCTTTCAGGTGGCATTATGTATCTTAAAGGGGTGCTATAGATAGTACAATAGTACAAGAAATGTAACAGTAGAACATTCATTTGTGATATTTTAATTCGCAATATTTTGAGTCTCTGTAACGTATTATTTCGTGGATTTATTTACCGACTTATGCAAAATCATTCCCATTTAATCAGTAATAATATTCAGTGTTATATCATTGTATCAGTACTGTAGCAGTATTAATCAGTGTTAATATTAGTATTATATCAGCCTTTTATCAGTTCAGCATCTGTCATGTTTGTATCAGTAATGTACCAGTAATGTATCTTGAATATTAATCTGTAACTCTGTAACATATTATATTGTATGTCTTGTCGTGCACGTTGAATACCTTTCAGGTGGCATTATGTATTTTGAAGGGGTGCTATAGATAGTGGTGGACGTGGTGCTATACTAATTAACCGTTTGATAAAGGGATAGTGCCCACGTCCTCCGTTCTCTCTCTCTCTCTAAACAATTTGGCAGAAATGAAAAATGTCCCTAACATTCTTCCTGATATGCTAAGAACTGCTGTTAAGGTGGTGGTGTATTTAATTATGGCAAAGCACACTAGGGCTATCTGCCTAAGGGGAGGGATGCCTTCGTGGAGGACTTTATAAGGGAAACTGGCTCGTACACACCTTACACATGGGGAAAACCACGAAAACACCCATGCAGCCAGCCCGTTCGCGGGATTCGAACCTCAGACCGAACTACCAGTGTTCAGCGACTTTACCGCTCGGCCGGAACTGCTGTTAAGAATGCAGTAACAGGATTTAACTTGCTCTCGGAAAATGCTGGACGCTACATTGAACATGCTTTGTAACACGTTTCGGAAACTATTAAACACATTTTAAACAGATGTTTTCGTGTCTTATTTCATTTACCAATATTGTATACAGCGCCATTTTTCCACTGGTGGTGAGTTTTTGAACTCTTTTTTTCCCGCGGAAAATAAATTCCCATAACCTCCTTTACACGATTCCCAAGTTTGATAACATTTGGTCCAGTAGTTTTCCTTTTATGACCATTTCAAACTGGAACTTTAATTATAACCACCGTGTAAATTAAACTTTAAAAGGCTGACAGTTTGGTTCAAGTCCCAGCTTTAAAAAAATATATATATTTAAATATAATATTTTTATATTAATCCTCTTAGAAAGAATGTTTTAAGAAGCTAATTTTTCTCTCGCGTTATAGATTGTATAAAAAAACATGATCTTTAATATGATTTAGATTGTTTCAGACGATATAAGAATCGGGTTACTCGGTGGTACAGAATAAACCCTGCTAGACTGTTTTATTTCTTTGTCATTTAGCAAAAATCTTTTAATTAAAATATTTGTGCTTTGGACTTTGCTCTATACTTTGTTTATAGTTAAAATGTCTAGAAAATGAAAAGCTGTCTTCAGCTGAAATGCAGTTGATGCAATTGATATTTAAAAAAAAATTGACAAGAATGCAAAATTTATGGAAGTCTAGGAATCGAAAAATCTTAATTTTATTGTGTGAGCACTGAAAATAACTGTAGAAGGAAAGAAGAAAATTAGGGAGAAAAGTAAGCAAAAATTTGCAGGGAAATTTTGGCTGTCAGACATACCAAGATGTTTCAAAAAGTTGGACGCTTTTGAATATACCTTCAGGATACTTCAAAGAATTTAGGTGTTCAAAGAGAAAACACTTGGACGTGTACACCACCACCACCAAATACCATCAATTGAGCTTGTGTTAACAGAAAAGACAAAAACAATATCATAACAGATTGAAGTGAAGAGCGACTGGTTGTAGACTATATGGTTGTATAAATTTAAATTACGTTATAGAACATCATATCGTATCATAAATGGAGAATCCCATGATTTTCTCAGTCGAATTATTTGAAGATTCAGGAGTTTATCTAGTGATGTATGCGGATGTCACCTAAAGACGTTTTTTTTTTCCTTCTGATGAAACAGCGGCTGAGCGGTAAATCGCTGAACACTGGTAGTTCGGTCCGAGGTTCGAATCCCGCGAAAGGGCTGTCTGCATGGGCGTTTTCGTGGTTTTCCCCATATGTAACGTGTATGCGAGCCAGTTTTCCTTAGAAAGTCTTCCACGAAGGCATCCCTTCCCTTAGGCATAATTAAATAAACCAAAACCTCTTGATGAAACCAGACTTTCCTTTCATCTCATACCTTCAAAATGTTTAGCCTCTAAAGACTGATAAAGGCTCTGACCAAATACTTCATAATGATTTTTCTAAGAGAAACCAGCTAGCATACACGTACGCATGAGAAAATCCACGAAAACGCCCATGTAACCAGCCCGTTTACCGGGATTCGAACCCCGGAGTGAACTACCAGTGTTCAACGATTCTCTACCGTTCGGCCGTTTGTGGGCCTTTATGAAATGGAAGGCGATAACTTTATTTAAAATGATTGTCAGAAATACCAAGATATTTCGAAAAGTTGGATGCTTTTTAATATACTTGCAAAATGCCTAAAGAAAAAGAGCAAGAATAAAGTAGAATGCCTGAAGAAAAAGAAAAGAAAAATAAATTTTTGCGTAAAATTTTATATTTCTACTTTTTTTTTTTAATTTAAAATTTTTAATCTTATGATATTTGATTCTTGCGATTTCAAAAATAAAATATTTTACTAAAATATGAATAATATTTTAAGAAACCAAATGTAGGATAAAACTGTGTAAAGCAATGGGCACAATGATTAAACTGTTTAAAGCAGTGTATGCAAGTCATTCTATGTTAAAATGTCCGTTATACATCTCTTTTATTTATATATTTCTTTTCTGAACGGAGCATTGAAAGGCGTGTTAACTGTGCTTTACTGTAATTTCTCTTTTAATATATGCAGTTTTCAAATACATCATAGTCTGGGTTACAAAATATTCTTCGGAAAGAAACGCAATTCAAATAAATAAAATCAAATTCTGGAAAATTTATATTAATAAATATATTTAAAATGCTCAGTTCGAAGGAATAAATAGAAAATTTTAAAACAATTATCTGAAGAGACAATGCAACACAAACAATTAAAATAAAAGTATAAAAATTTAAAAATTTCCTAAAATAATAACTATGACAAATAAATATATATAAAGAAAACTATTTGAAAAAAAATAAACGCTGCACCGTTATTGACGCAGTTTGAATAGGTAAATAGAAATTTTTAAAATTTAATTCGATAATTTTAATTCGAAGAAAAAAATGCCACTTAAACAATTAAAATGAAATTCGAAAAAGAAAAAATTACTTAAAATAATAACAGTTACTAATTCAGAAGTCAAACAACAAAAATCAGCGTTATACCTACAAAATTTTCACAGGACTAGTTTCGATGGTTAATAATAACAGTTATAATAAAAAATATATAAAGAATATTATTTGGAAAAAAGAATGATGGTGACTTTTTTTCCTCTCACGGGAAAGGAAACAAGGTTGCCATATATTAAGACGTTCGCCAAGTGAACTATTCTTGGCGCAAACTGAACAAAAAGTACCAACATAAATTTGTGAATTTCTCCGTAAATTTCGCTCCAAATTTTACAAAATTTCATATTTAGGCGTAATTTGAGTCGTAGAATCGAAATATGTAAAAAAATTGGTATGTTATTTCAGAAAAAGTCCGATTTTGTGTCAAAATACCTATGTTAGAATAGTGCTATATATAAATCTAATATATATCCTAAGTCGCGCTTTCGAGACATGAAGAACGCAATTTGAATATTTTCAATCGGCCGAGTAGA